TCCAAGCCGGGGGTTGTTCCAGCCAAAAGGTCTCTCCAGTCAGAGCATGCTGTTTTTTTATTGAGGGTTGTTCCAGCCCGGAGCTTGTTCCAGCCAGGGGCTTGTTCCAGGAAGGGTTTTGTTCCAGCCACGGGTTGGTTCCAGCCGAGGGAGTTTCACCTGGTTCATTCCACAAATGCCATAACTTCCATGCCCTGGTGGAGACTTTTTGGGAACAAAGGAGGCGCAGGCCGACCCGTGTCCGTTCTGGGCTCGGCCGCCCAAACAGGGCGTCAGGTTTGTCAGGTGGGTTTTGCGGGGGGTCGCAGTGGAAAAAGCGTCAGGTGTGTCAGGTTTGCCAGGTGGGTGTTGTGGGGATTCAGTGGAAAAAAGGTGCCTGTCTGAGCGGCCGTTATCGCGTTGGCTGGAATGCACAGCGTGTCTGAACGGCATGGGTGCAAGTTGCAGGCTGGCTCGAGCAGTAGATTTTTTTACCATACCACTTGTCCACCTTGAACCGCAAACCATGGGTCTCCGCCCGGGGCCACGGCGGCGCGGCAGGTGATCTTGCAGAAGGACAGCTACTTGGTAAAGGGAAAGCAGGCAACATGGGAGAGCAGAGAACTGACGGTTTCGCTCAAGGATTCCCAAGGCACCAGGAGTGTCCACACCGGGGTTGCCGACTCAGTCTTCGCTAGATTGTCAGAGGCAAGGGCCAGCTCGAAGTTCTGTGACTTCACAGCCGTGGAGCAGATTTGAGTTGCTGTGGCTCATCTTTCTCAAGGCTATTTCTGAGCGCCGTTGTTTAAACAGTCCGTACTTAGTCAGTCCAGATTGCTGGCATGGCATTTGGTCGCTCGACCGTGGCGTTCCTCGTCGCCACATTCGGTGGCATGACGCAAGCAGTTCGCAACGTTGCCAACATCTCGTCGGCTGTGCTCGACACAGACCCGACTCATGTGAACGGCTTGGGCTTTGAGTGTTACTGCACAACCGTCAGCTCTGAGAAAGACTGTCCCGACACAGGTGCAGCTGCTTCTCGCCCTAACCAGCCGGACATGCACCGCTTCTATAACCCTGAGGCAGGAACTTGCTGCCTGCTGGAGTACGACCGGAGGACTGGCTACATGAAGCAAGAAGGGAAACCGAGCACACCGCCAGCAGGATTCGAAAAACAGTCCGGTTTGGCAAAGTGTTCGTCGGACACGCGGTCCTTTCCAAAGAGGAGATGCTGTCATGTGCTGGCCGGGTATGACGAGAGCGCGCCCGTGATTTCTTTCTACGTGCTGAAGGCCACGGTGGTTACCAAGATCAACAATAAGGGAGAGGTTAGCAAGATCAAGCCGCGGGTCACGAAGGACTACGTGGCAGGAGGTAAAGACGAAAAAGAACATCAGTCGATTGGATGGCAGGACGTTTGGAAGTTTTTAGACGAGATGAAGAAGATGGACAAGCTCCCGAACATGGAGTGCCTAGCTGAGTCCATCGACGAGATGTTGCATGATGAGAGGCCCTGCCACCTGTACCGGTAGTGACACGGAATTCCTAGAAGTTCTGATGGCCAACCATGCTTTCAGCGTTAAAAGAAGCGGCTCCTGCAACTTGTGAGTGACCTGCAGTTTCGAAAGCGTTAGCTCATTGCTTCCCCGAGGCACCGATCCAGCAACTGCGAGGCCAGAGGCCCGGCGCCACGCGGCCTGGACGGCCGCTCCAAGACGGAGCGAAGCTGTGGCCGCCCGCTGCGATGCAGCAGATGCTAGAAGCACCAGTCACTTCGCTGCCAGTCGCTTCAAGAAGGAGTGACCGACGGAATGTGCAAGGATCTTCGGTTTTTTCATGTGACCTTTGCGAGTGCAGTGTCTTCCAGGCCCATGTTGACTGGAATTGGCTCACAGCTGTAAGACTGTAAGAAGCATTTCGAGAAAAGAGATGTTTCGACAACATCTGGATGGAATCCAGCATGGCTCATGGACTTTCAGATATATACAGGTTCACTCAACGCCCATGTGCCGAAATCAGTAGGACAGATGCAGGGACAGGTGGGGCACTCCTGTTTTGTCCTGCTGTGCTGACAAAGCAGCGTTTGAAAAAACATTTTAAGGTGTAGGCCTCTCGGTGTTGACCCTCATGCCTGCCAGGTGGAAGAAGTGGTGCTGGACAATTTCAAGTCTTATGAAGGGTCTCGCTGGCCAGCTTGATCATGAGCTTCGGCATCAACCTCCTCTGGTGCTGGACCGTGCTGCATACTCACCTCATTCTCCAACACAGTTCAGCTTAGATATGGTGCACTGCCCTGTGCTGTCGCCAGGCAGGTTAGAGTGGGACCCTTCAAAAAGTTCACGTGCATTGTCGGCCAGGAGCCCTAGAGGTCAAGCTGTCCACAATGAAGAGAAACCCCCAACTGTTGGCCCGAAATCTTCGTCCTTGGTTGATTTGGCTTTGTGCACGTCTTTCCAGTAAAAAACATCGGTCATGTCGCATAACGAGGACGTTTCATGAAGGCCGTTTGAAGACGGCTTTTCGGCGAATGCCCTGCAACAGAAGATGCTTACACTCACGCGAAGCGTCATCATCTTAGGCCCAAATGGCGCGGGCAAATCGAACCTGATGGATGCCGTCAGCTTCGTCCTTGGCGTCCGCACGCGACATCTCCGAGGGGATCGCCTGCAGGACTCAGGGAGTTCCATCGGGCAAGGCCGCAGAAGCAGTGACCGCAGCGGTAGTGGCAGTGGCAGTAGCAGAAGCGGTAGCGGTAGTGGTAGCCCTTTGGCAGCGGGGTCGCGGTAGCGGTAGCAGTAGCAGCAGCGGTAGTGGTAGCGGTAGCAGTAGCAACTGCAGCAGTACTGGTAGCGGCAGCAGGAACAGTAGCAGTATTGGTAGCGGGCAGTAGTGGTAGCGAGTAGCGGTAGCGGAAGCGTCAGCAGCAGGGGCAAAATGATGCGTCATTTTGGCAGGGGGGGGGGGAAATGACACGTCATTTTGGTCCTGGTCGTCCTGCTCCCAGGTTTTCCAAGGGGGCGGCCATGCTTTATGGGTAATCTTGGTAATCTTGGACCTGCCCCTCCGATCCACTTGCACCACTTGATTATCAAGACGACCAAGATTAACACCCCCTCCTCTCGGTTGGGGCAGGGGAGGGTTTAGGGGCGCACCCGGCGCGCTTCGGTTTAGGGTTTAGGGCTGTTTAGGGGTTCGGGTTTTGGGTTTAGGCGGTTTAGGGTT